CAAGCCCTCAAACACAGCCACCAGCAGGTTAGGGAGAGGTGAACCTTGCTAGCTGCCTCTTCCTCCCTCTTCTTGCTATCTTACTCATTAATAACCACCCTGATCTCCCCTTAGGCAGGGGGCTTTCTTGCCTTTTTAGGATAATTAGCAAACCTATTATGCAATAATTACAGGAGCTGGTTTCCAAGGTGATCTGCATGCTCTGTGCTTTCCAAGGGGCCTAACTTAATCCTCCCTGCTCCACCATGGTTAGTTTTGGCCTTCTCACTGCAGGGAATGCTTCCTTAAGAACCCCAGAGTGTGTTTCCTAGTGCTTATCTCACCAGGATAAACATTGCAATCTCAAAATCTCAACATCTGAAGAAAAATGATTTGCACTTTGTAAACAGGCTTCTTGGATTCAAATTCAGTAGTTTCCTTCGATTGCAGCCTGTAGTTGAGAATGCCTCTTCCTAATCATGAGTTTCGTTGTCATCAGGAGATATTAAACCCTGTTAGTATACACGCTGGTAAGCACCTTAAAGACACTTGGATTCGCGTCTGTGTGGCTGCTTCATTGATAGGAGCGGACGGGAGAGGATGGGAGCTGCAGAACCTCGGCTGGCAGGTTCAGGGACCCGTAGGAAGGGCCCGAGGGATTTCCACATCCTCACCTGGAGGGTGTGCAGATGGCCAGCCCTGGGGGATGTCGGTCGGTGGGAAGGGATGGTTTGGAGCCAGCCTCAGTGGGAGTCGGGCAGTGTAGGCTGCCTCTTAGTGAATACAGACTTGCCCCATCCTGCGTGTTATTTACCCAGCTGTGCCTATTACTATTTTAATCGTTTAAAGCAATTTGTTACAGGGATAACTTGACTGATTGCAATCAATAAGGAAGAAGCCAGGAATCCAATCTGAAGTGTGTGAGGGCCTGAGCAGATCTTGCTGGGGTGGAACAGTCCCTTCTTCCTTAACCCTTTCTGCCCCTAGGACATCTCCAGAGTGGGCCCAGCCTGGGGGTGAGGTCTTGGCACTGGAGGAAGGGCGTCGGCAGCTTGCCCTTGCTGTTGCTATTTTTGGACCACGGTTTATCTGGTTCAGCATTGACATGAGCTTCAGCACCGTCTTCTGAGCTGGACCTTGTTAGGAATAGAAATTCTCAGCCAAGCATGGTGGTGCACACCTGTAATTCCAGCACTCTGGGAGGCTGAGGCAGGAGGATTCCCAGGAGTGAGAGCAGGAGTGAGGGCCCAGCCCGGGGAAATTTTGGGATTTAGGGACTGTCTCAAAATATAAAAAAAGGGTTCAACTGCTAGTTCTGGGGAGTGAGGTGGGGAGAAAGCAGAAATGTAAGTTCTCAGATCTGTTGAATCAGGAACTCTGGGGTGGGCCCAGTAAGTTAAGTCCTGCAGGTGGTTCTGATGTACACTCCAGTGTGAGGGCCACCAGGGCTGGACCAGGATACAAAACTGAGAGGGCCGAAGGGGAGCAGCAGGCTCGCATGTGCTCCACCCCACGCTTGCCTTGCCCGAGGCATCCAGCATCCTCTCCCTGATTTGCTTCCTCCCTCTGGCCCGCGGCCTCAGCTCCTGCGGACACAGCTCCCTCTCACCCCGTGGGCAGAGTTCGGTTTGTGCATGTATTGCAACTGTCAGTGCTGTCCGGGGTGACATTTGTCATAAAACTGCATTTCATTTTATCACATCTCCCCAACAACAATGGTGACTTTCTTTCCAGCCCCCCAACACATCGCGGAATAGAATGAGCTTAGCGAGTTGTTCTGAGGACGATGTTCCTTGTTTACTCTCTGCTCCCTTGTGACAGAGTCCTAGGCTCTTCAACAGCTGAACGGACAGCCTTTCAGCTCTTACTGTTTGGAATTAAGCAGTGGCTAAGCAAATGCCTAAGCAAATGCCTGCACTGCAGTAAAAACATCTACATGTACAGCTTTAGCGAGAGGGAATTCACCCATCTGGAGTATACCGTTCAGTGATTGTTAATACAGCCACAGCCTGTGTAGCTCTATGACCAATTTTAAAACACTTCCATCACGCACCCCAAAAGTGCTCCACTTTTCAGTCACCTGGCTCCAGTCCCCTGTCCCCTCCAGCCCCAGGCAGTCATGAGGCCACTCTGGACTTGTCCATTCGGAATATCAGATGTATTTCATTCAAATGTAGTTTTGCCGTATGTGGTCTTCTTTTCTCGCGGCACAGTGTTTACACGGTTCATCTACGCTGTTGTGTATGTCAGGCGCTCTCTTCCTTTTGACGGCCAAACCTCACTCATGTTTTCTTTCTTATTCCCTTTCCCTCATGGTGGCACTTTTAGTTCTAAAATCTATCTGTGTGATGATATTGATAGTTGGTGAAATTAATATCGACAGTTTTAAGTGCTGGGATGCAGCTCAGTGGTAGAATGCTTGCCTAGCCTGTGTAAACCCTGGGCCCCAGATCTCTCTCTGTCTCTCTCTGTCTCTGTCTCTTTGTATGTCAGGCGCTCTCTTCCTTTTGACGGCCAAACCTCACTCATGTTTTCTTTCTTATTCCCTTTCCCTCATGGTGGCACTTTTAGTTCTAAAATCTATCTGTGTGATGATATTGATAGTTGGTGAAATTAATATCGACAGTTTTAAGTGCTGGGATGCAGCTCAGTGGTAGAATGCTTGCCTAGCCTGTGTAAACCCTGGGCCCCAGATCTCTCTCTGTCTCTCTCTGTCTCTGTCTCTGTCTCTGTCTCTCTCTCTCTCTCTCTCTCTCTCTCTCTCACACACACACACACACACACACACGCACTGATGATTCAGCATTGAAATCATCTCTCCCTTGCTCTGCCCCCTTTTCTAGCCTTCTTCCTCCTTTTCCTCCCCCGCCCCAGCCTGTCCCCATGTCTGTGATGGGTCCCAGGGTCTGAGGTGGAGAAGGCAGGACCCAATAGTTGATTTTCTTCACTCCTTCCCCTTGGACGATCCGTGGCAGCTTTGTCCACAGCACAACCTTGGTGCCACATCTGAAGGACTGTAAAGGGCATGATGAACACGCTGGAGGAGGAACATTTGAGTTACAGGCCACACGGGTACGAGCGTTCAAGAAGGAGTTGGGGAAGGTGGGCCTTCTGGGAGCGCGGCCTGAGTGGGGGGACTGGAGGTCGCTGAATGGCTTGGGGAATTGTGTGCAGATCTTGCTGGCTGGAGCATTACCTTTGGAAACAGTTTACCCCAGAAGTCAGCACTGGGCAAACTGGATGTGCGTGGTAGAGATGATCACGGCTATGGGGGGCCATGTGGATTGGGGGACACAGGGAACAGGGTAGAAGACTGTTGTTCTAGGCTGGTGTCATTGTCGCTTTTTTGCCACGGAGACCCAAACCTGACACCTGCAATTTAAAGGAGGACAGGTTTTTCTGGCTCACTTTTATAGTCCTGGCTGCGTGGCAGAGGGGCACAGCGCTAGAAAACACTGTGTCATGTCACGGTGGCCAGGAAGCAGACAGAGGGAAGGAGCTGTGAGCCTCCACGCCTCAGTGGAAAGTCAGCTCCAGGAAAAGCCTTGGCTAGGGAGCACGAGACCTTGCTGCTGCAGGGGTACAGAGGAGGGCTGGCAAAGAGACGTGGAGAGTGCCACAATCACCACGACGAGCTGAGAGTCATTGTCACGGACAGGGCACGGGCACATGGGTGGTTCCGTAGACCGAGGGGAGATTCAACTAGATGACCAGGTTTGGGGGAAGGCACTGAGTTTGATACTGGACACACTGACTTGAGGGGTTTGCAGAATGTCCTGAAGATGGGGAGCTCCAGTTTGGGGCTCAAAGACAGAGTCACACTGGACATGTGTTCCGACGTGGGAAACACCAGCGTTAGAGTGGAAATGGATCCCAGAGCGGGTGTGATTGCGCAGGAGATTCTATTGGGCCTGATGAGTCAACAGCCGCATTGGAACTTCTCACATCCAGTGCCCCGTTGAAGCCAGAAGAGGAAGGTGAGTCCCGGTGATTCAGTAGGAGAGGCTTTTTCCGCTCTGAGGGCCAAAGCCAGGACCCGAGTGAAAATGTGACCGTGAGGACCTTGTACCAGGGCACAGTTTCTTGGTGGAGAGCAGGGGGTTGTGTTTAGCAGATTTAGCATCAGGGTGGGTAGTTGTGAGGTAAATGGGTGCCTCAGCTAGGAGAGACTGTGGTGACTAAGTCTTGGGCCACTGGGACTCAGAGCGTTTGCAACAAGGAAACCGATCAAGAGGGAAAGGTGTTTCTCTGACCATCTGCTGCTTGTGCCACAGGGCTGAGCTCATCTTTATTTTCCATGGCCAGAGCTGCATGTGTTCTGTCCATGGTAGCAAAGGAGGCGAGTTGTTAAACACATGAAAGGAGGCATTGATGAGCTATTGATGTCCTGAGCCAAGGAGCCAACCAAACGCCACCAATCCATCGATCGCTTTTCTCACTACTCTTAAGTGTCCCCATCGGCTCAGACTCAGGCGATTTGCTCTCTCAGGACAGGTGTGGCTTACAGGCTGCCCTGGGCATTAGGCTCTGAAAAATAATGTGTGAAAGAATGTTGCTATTTGTTTCTGAGTGGATTGTTTCAGCTTTTTCTTTAAGTCACCCAGGGCAAATACAGTGGTGGTGGAAAGGGCCGAAGAGGTGGTGAAGAGGTGGCTTGCAGGGGGAGCTGTGGATACAGGGAGGCTCAGCTGCCTGTGACAGCAGCCCCTAGAGAAGGAAAGGACAGAGGAGATCCTGATGTCCCCATAGGAGTCCGGAGCATGTGGTGCTGCTGATGGGGAAAGGAGGGGACAGGAAGGCGGGATATAATCCAACCTGTCACAGTGGGAGAGGAGGAGACGTACCTTTCCAGTGGACCGTTACTACGGGGGAAGAAAGGAGACTCAGTAACTTGGTATCCATTTTACCATCAGTGGAGCTAGACAAGGATGAACTAGTCCTCCCATTGCACACACAGACGCACACCTGCACGCATGCACATGTGCACACACATTTATATATAACTTTTTATCTATAGTATTTAACGTCAAACTGTTACAACTGGGTTCTTTATTTCTAATAACACAAACTCATTTTTTTATAGACAGAGATTTACTTTGGGACCCCAGGACTTCATTCTAATGGTGATGCTTGATTTTGCTCTCCCTCTCCATTTCAGCAGCTGTTGATTCAGGAAACTTCGTAGCTCTTCAGCACACAGCTCTCTGTCTCTCTGTTTTCACATACAGATGCTCCTTGACTTAAGATGCAGCTACCCAACAAGCTCGAATTAAGTTGGAAACATTGTTAGGAGAAAATGCAAACCCGTCTGATGCACCTGGTCTGCCAAGGTCATAGATTCGCAGTGTTCTGGGGCTGAGCGGGAGCTGCTGGTGTCCAGCATCTCAAGAGAGTTTTGTACCACATAGCTCTAGTTTGGAAAAAGATCAACATTCAAAATCCTGGGTGTGATTTCCACTGAAACGGTACCACTGTGGCTCCACTGTAGTGTTGAAAAATGGCACTGGTAAGTTGGGGAACTTCTGAATTTGGATTGTATATATTTGCCCTGCGGTTTTTCATTTAATGTCCTCCAGCTCTTTCCAGGCAGCACACACGGCCCACTTCATTGTTGTTAACGTGTATAGATTGTTCCGTCGACTTACAAATAATCCTGCAGTGGGCTTTATTAATGCACCCCCTCGGCTGTGCAGCCAGGCCCTGCTCCTGGCCATCCAGTGCTGTCCTCACAACCGGTCCCCCCTACCCTCGACCTCACTATGTCTGAGCCTGCCCGTCCCACCCTAAGACAGGTCCCACAGTGTCCTGTGTGGGGTGGGGCGCGGCAGGATTGCCCGCTCTCTCCTTTGGCTTTTGGGTGTCCCTTCCTCTGTCCTGCACATCCCTCTTTATGTTGTTGCCAGGGGTTATCTCCATTTTTCTTCGCTCATTTCTGTCCTCACAGAAATGGTTTTCTGGTCTTCAGTCTGTCTGTGTTCACGATCTGATGGCTTCTTCTTATAAGGTGGTCCTCCCGACTTCGTTATCTTTTATCAGTGCGTGTTTGCCTTACATCATAGTTGGATGTGCGTTGGGGAGTGGGGTACATGTGTGTGTCATATTTTGATGACTTTCCACCCTCTCCCTTCCCTGCTTGCTCCTCTTCACGTGGTGCTTTTCTGTGTCTCCAAGAGATCTGTCTCACTGTTCCTACCCTCTCTCCCTTATTTATTCTTTAGAGAAACTTGAGGCATTTGTAGGAAAGTGGAAGCACCTTGAGGCTACAGTGTTAAGTGAAATCAATCAGACCCGTGGCTTCAGTTATCTCATGGTTTCTCTGCTATGAGAAGCCCAAAGTAGAAATAAAGAGCAAAATGAAAGATAGAGAATAGGAAGTAAACAGGTAGATCATTCTTAAAAGGGGAGGGAGTCAAGTGGTGGAGGGAAGGGGGGAGAGGGGAGGGGAAGGGGACGAAAACAGAATTAGGATGTGTCAGGTACAGGTGTCCACTCCCCACAAGGAATGCAATCATTATGTGCTACACACAGGTACTGATAAAACAGAAAAACAAAACAGCAGAAAAAGAGAGAAACTATGTGCTATTTAATTTCCTGTGTGTGACTTATTTTACCTAACTCCATAGTCTCAAGATCCACCCATTTTCCTGAAAATGACGTGATTTCATTCTTATGGCTGAATGATAGTCCATTGTGTATATAGACCACACTTCCTTATTTGATAGACTTCATTTTAACACAAGCCTTTCTTTTAGAGATACAGTACATGCGGTCATCGAGCTGCAGCATGAGGTGTTAGAGGTTAGGAATTCAACTTAGGAATTTCGGGGGCTAAGATCCAGCCCATAGCGGTGGCCGTGTGCCAGAGTTCTGAGGGTGACTCCTGCCCCTGGGCCTTCCCGAGCCTGCACCAGGGGACCGGCAAGCACTGGCATCTCCTCACCAGCTGCCTTCTGGAGCACCCTCCTCCCAGGGCTGGTAACAGCTTCCCTGGAGTCCATGCTGGGGCCTCAGTACCCCTCAGTCCTGCCCACCCCTCTGAGATGTGTTTGATAAGGGCCTCTCCACTGAACCACCTGAGCTGGATTCTGTTTCCTGCCCGGGAGTCAATGGCTGTACTTCACGCATTCATGACACCTTCAGCCCCACCTGTCCTCTGCCTGCTTGTCCCAGACCTGGGCACATGCCATCCTTCCTACCTGAGGAGAGGGACTGGGGTCCATGATTATGGAACAAGGGGACAAACAACACAGTGAGAGACAGAGGAATGATGTCCCCTGTAATCAGGGAAGGCTTCCTGGAGGAGGGAACATGGCACACAGAGGGGAGCAGAGTGGATGGGTGAAGAGGGCACGGGCTAGAGCGGAAGCCAGGTCATGGAGCTTTCAGAGCAGTCTGGGCGTCCCCAAGCAGTGTCCATGGCAACACTGCCCATGTGCTCATCAGGCTGGAACCTCGGCACCACTGCCAACCTTCCTTTCCCCTCCTTTCCCGGCCAGGCCTGTCACTGGGTCATGTGTGATATGGCCTGTCCGTCCCCTGTGCTCCATCCCTCCTGCCACATGTGTACGGTAGCCTGGGAGTCCTCCCTGGTCATGGCACAGAGGCGAGCTTCTGGGCACGTGTCCTGGATGCGTTGTGCACAGAGGGCGGAGCCAGGTTATCTTTATCAGCCCTGGGAGGAGGGGCAGTATGGTCCCCATTTGCAGAAGGAGGACCTGGGCACAGATGGGTAACCAGCTCTGCCAATCCCTCTGCCTGGAAGGCTTTGAACTGGTGGGAGGTGCTGGTGGCCCTCTGTGCTTCCTGCAGTCTCTGGGCCCAGCTTGGGCAAGGTCCTGGGGTGATGGACTGAGGTGTACCATGAAGCTGAGCTTCTTAGACTTGTGCACTGAATTTAATGTGCATGCTCTCCTGAACCAGATGGAAGGAAAACCTTCCGAGAGATCTGGTGGGTCCATGAAGGGAGGTGTTATTTCCCTGGGCATCTGGAGGTGTGCATACCCACCCAGTAAGCCCCCGAGGGGAAACTGGAACAAAAAATTTTTTTTGTCCTGACTGCTTGTGGAATTGGGAATATTTTTAGCAAATCAGAAAGCTTTGGAGACAAATCCTGGCTCAAAGCGGGCACTCAATAAACCTTCGTTGAATGCTGCCGAATGTTACTCCTTGGTCCTGAGAGCCCCAGAGAATGTGCTCAGAAGGGAACTGGATGAAGACGTCAGCCAGCCTGACCATAAACGTAATCTTTATGACTCCATAAAAAGGAACACGGACAATAGGTAGGGTGCCATCTGTGAGCACAATAAATATTTCCCTGAAATTCCTCTGCCCATCAGGAAACCACATCACATGCACTTTCAAAACCATGGCCTATTTTTACTTTAGTAAAATGCCAGCTTTTTATTGGTACTGATGGAGTTTGCAATTAACCAAAGTGCACAATAATCGTGTCTGCCATGACTGATGTCTTTGGATTAGATCACGTGTAGAGACTTACAGAAGGGACAGAGAGACCAGGATTTTAAGCACCTTCCAAATGCAGTTTGTTTGGCTTCTGAATTGGTCCATTGGTTGTAGTAAAAAGAGAGCCCCTTTTTGGTGGTGTGGTTCTTTTATTTTATCATTCAGCCAGTGCTTGCTGGGTACATGCTGGGGATGTAGAGTTGAGAAGACAGAAATCCCACCGCAAAGTGCTGAGGGCCTAGTGATAGGCAGCTGATGACAAGGGAAGGATTTGTCTTAGGTGCAGTGACAGGGACAAGTAGCGTGCGACCTGGCCTGCATGGAGACCTTCAGAAGCACTGAGGCGTTCTGGGAAGGCGATTCAAAGAGCAGGATGACAGGGGCCGGGGTCCAAGCACAGGTGGAGACTGGCAGTTGGGGGCTTCAGGAATGGTCGTGGCCACAGTGGCAGGGTTTCTTGTGCTGGTCAGGGAGCTGCATGCTCTCCAGCCACTGCTTTGTAAGGGGATTCATCCATCTGTGCCTCTCTAACTTGGAAAATTCAGTGACCTGATTCTTTGTAGGACTGCATGCAGTGGCCCATTACTATGGGAACGCCTGCCTGCTAGAAACACAGGGGAAAGGGGCTAGTGACGTCAGGCGTGCTCCCTGCTCTCCAAACCTGCCCCTTTTATGGCAAATGGGAAGCTCACCTTCCTCTCAGTCTCTCTGGCTTCCCAATCTCCCATGAGCCACCCTGAATACATGGACAGTCTCAGAACCACACTGTTTATGGTTGACACTGATTATGGGCTATTCCTTCTTAGCTGGATCTAGCATTAAATAGTGTTGTGTTTTCAATCTTCTGGAGGTTATGAATAAGTGTAGGATTTAAAAAAAATTTTTAGTATGTTTGGTACTGGGGATCGAACTTAGGACCTTGCACTTGTGAGGCAGGTGGCAGAATCACTGAGTTAAATCCCTGGTCCATGGTTTCAATCTTAAACGTTCCCTGAGGTCCATATGGTACAGGCTTGGTCACCAGACTATGGCGCCTTGGGGAGGGGGCGAAACCTTTCAGAGGAGGAGCCCAGTGGCCGGAGAGGGTGTATCTTCCAAGGAGGTACTGGCGCCCTGGCCCCTTCTCTCTTCTCCCCCGCTTCTTGGTACCATGAGCTGAGAAGCTTTGCTCGGTCTCGTGTTCCTCACTATGCTGTGCTGCCCTGCTACACACTGAATACAATAGAAGCAGCCAACCACAGACCAAAGCCCCTGAAATCCATGAACCAAAACAAACCTTTCCTTCTTACAGGTTGATTTTCTCAGGTGTTTGGTCACAGTGGCACAAAACTGACCAACACAGATAAGCAGCTCTGGGCCAGCCCTGGCAGCCAGGGATTCCTGAAACTCTGTGGTTGGATGGGCCACAGAGGCCACTCCTTGGGGGTCAGTAATGCGGCCAGTGGGGGAATGTGGGCTGGCGGTTGATTCTGTCTCATCCTGTGTTGACAGATGTGTTGTGCTCATATGGGACAGAAATCTGTCTCCCAAGGTTGGAAACCAGTGACTTTTTTCCTGGCATCTGGGAGATCATAGAATCGGCCTTCTTTTCTTCCAAACATTATTATTATGATTAATAGCGCATGTGTTTGTGTTCACAGAGTTGGCGGTTACAAAGGATACAGGATACTCCTTTAGATCTGTGATGATAAATCTCCTCTAAATCTTCTCCAGGTGAGACACCACAATCCCCTTTCAGCATTCCTTAAATGGTAACCTTTTCCTTTCCATATAGTACAGAGAGGTTGGTTTCTACCTCAATTTTTGTCTTATTTAGGTCTGCTTCTGCAAGCCCAGCACTCTGAGAAGCTGAGGCAGGAGGATTGAAAGTTCCAGCCCAGTTTGGTTGGGCAACTGAGCAAGACTGTTTCAAAATAAAAAAATAAAGCATAAAACATAAAAACGCGGGGGATGTAGCTCAGTTCAAAAGCCCTGGCTTCAATCCCCAGTTCCATCAAAAAGGTATATATGCTTGTGGAAAATGAAGAAAATACTGAAAACTCAGAGGAGACCAAACAACTTTTCACGGGTCTTCCTGCCAGCCACGCTGTCCTTCCTGTCCCGTGACTGAACTGCACAGGTGTCCTGTGTCTGGCGGGCTCGGGTCCTCAGAGTTATTCAAATTCAGCCAGTGTAACATTTCAGCCTCAAATTCCCTCCAGACCCAGCCCACCTGCCTTCTTCCACAAAGGCTGGGACCACTGGCCCTTGGTCTCTGCTGTCCCCCCTTCTCTTGACGGCAGCCCCTCCAGGTCAAGGTGGGAAACCCCACTGTTTTCCTTTCCTCTCCAGGAGACGCCTTCATCTCTTCATTCCGTGGCTGTCGGGGGCCCGATGCGGCAGGCCTGTGAGGACAGAGGGTTACTCACGTCCCCAAGCTCGCTTACAGTGACCCATGGCGGACCCTGGAATCCTGCGGAAGTCCTTGCTCTTGAGGAGACCTTGGGTTCCTGCCCCGGGACCCAGGGTCTGCTCCTGAGAGGTCTGTCTGTCCCTGGGGAAGTGGGCGAAGGGCCAGGGGGGACACACAAGGCTGTCCCAGCGGGGTGTCAACACCCAGCTGCTCCTGCTCTCCATCTCAGGACTCCTCGCTGGGTCCCGAGGCGATGAGGTGCACAAAACAGACTCTGGCGGCAGCCGGAGCCTGTGCAGGAACTTGGAGTGCAGGAGGCAGGAAGCGGACTGGGGGTCCTCTCAGCAGGAGCTATGACCCCCGTGCCAGCCTGAGAGGGTTAGGGCTGTCCCGGCCCTGGACCAGGAGAGCCCCCCCAGCCCGCACACTGGAGTTCAGTGGTGACGGCTCCTTGTCGCCTGGCGCTTTCACTGTGGGGCTTGCGGTCCAGCCACGTCTAGGACGCTACATCTGCACCACCGTCACCCGTGTGACAGGTTTGCCAGGGCCGATATTGGTCGGCAACCCCCTCCTCCTGTCCTTCTCGGCGCCTGCCCTTCAGAGGCTGACTTCCGGTCCTGAGCAGGCCCTGAATCTATCACAGCAGCAGCGGACTGCGCTGGACACTGGGCTAGGGGTTGATCAACATCACCTCACTTGTGGAAATGGGCGCAATGCTCTTTTGTTTCTTTGCATGTCATTTTGTTTTCCCAGAAGTGGAAATGGTGGCTCAGAAAGGTTGATAATTTATCCAAGGTCACACAGCGACATATGGTGAGACCAGGATTCTGACCTAAGCGTTCTGCTTTTGGAGCCTGTGCCATTAAATCTTGCCGCGATTTGCAGGTAGGTAGAAGGAGGGTTCAGGGGTTAAAAAAATAAAGTATTTTGGTATTTTAAAAGTCAGGGCTGGGGATTTAGCTCAGTGGTTCCGGCGCCTGCCTTGAAAACCCAATGACCTGAGTTTGATCCCCAGTACAAAAAAAAAAAAAAAAAAAAAAAAGTCAGTGCTTCACCGTTCAAGACAGCTGCACTGTTTTGTGACTCTGTATCCCTAAATCTGGGTGCAAGGAGAGGGAAAGGGAGGAAATTTCTTTCTTTTTCTTAATCCACATACGTTTGATTCTTCTACCTAACACCACTGACCGGTCAGTGTAAGGTTTCTATCTGATATCATTTCCCCCAAGACTTCAGCAGGCCAGCCGTGAGTCCTAAACTCTCAGAAACAATGGGCTTTTGATGGTCTGGTTTTCTGTATGATCCTAGATGTGAGGAATAATCAAGAAATACAGTGAATGTTTAAATTTATAAAGTTCATTATAGTAAAAGACACCTTGCCAAGAATCTCCCTCAAACCAACCCTCCTTACTGTGAACACATTGATTTCATCACTCTTGCCACGTTCTGAAGCAGTCCTAGGGGTCTTGTTCCGTGAGTGAATTTAGTTATGTTGTCATGGATGCTTTGATGTCCTGAATTGGTTCAAAACTTTAATTTGCACCTTTCATGGTCATTTAGATTTGGGGGAAGAGCCAGAAGCTGCACAGTGCCAGATCCAGAGAGAAAGGTGGATGAGGACCCACTGTTAGGATTTTACAAGCTTTCCTTTCTAGTGGATGGCACTCGGCAGCAGCGGTCACCATATGTTTGATCATCACACTTCACGTAGACCCTCACAACAGGGGTCTTCCAGAACTGCTTCAGAAAGTGCTGAAAGGATGGGAAACGTGAGCTGGAAGCGGGGGAGGGGGCGTTTGAGGGGGATCAAGAGCACTGTGTCTTTTACCGTCGTAAAATTTAAAAATGGAAACACTCACTGTATTCCTCCGCCAGCCTGTATCTATGCGGGAAGTGGGGTGAGGCGGCCCTGCAGAGGGATGGAACTGCATGGTCCTGCTGGGGGGCTGTCGAGCTTGGGCTCCAGGTCTCAGACCCCCTAGCTGGGCCCTGGCCTGGGCCTGCTTCCCCCAAGCAGAGGCACCATGGGATTTGGAGAGAGAGGAAGAGAGGGAGGACTGAGGAATGTTGGGTTTTCCCGCCACAGTCACGGCAGACGCCCAGGGTGCGTATGTGGGGTGCAGGTGGTGAGGTGTGCTACCAGCGAAAGTGACCTGGGTGGGGCCGTCAAGTGGCAGGTGAAGCTTCTCCCTGGAGAAGCCCCACTGCCAGGCCCTATTGTTCCTGCTGCCAAAGCCTTGTCCCACAGCTCCACCGTGCTGTCTCCAGCTGGGCCCCTGCCAAGGATTTTCTTGGCTGTCTCTTCTCTCAGAGAGGAACAGCCTGTCCCGTGGCACTTGGTTCTCCAGGGAGCCCGGCAAGGCAGCCACCTTTCTGTCCACATCTCTGAGGGGATTCCAAGGGTAGTGAGTCTGCGCCTACCCCTCACGCCTGAGCACAGGTGTTCAAGGTGGCCAGGGGCTGGTGGGAGGCCTTACTCAGTGCCAGTGGAAGGACCACTGAACATAGTCTAGGTTTATTCCCCCTTGGTCATTCGCTTGAGCTGAGTGTGTTGGTGCTTGCCTGTAACCACAGCAGTGTGGGAGGCTGAGGCAGCAGTACTACCAAGTTAGAATCCTGTTTAGATAACTTAGGGACTTTGGGAGACCCCCCCAAACAACAACAACAACAACAACAACAACAACAACAACAACAACAACAACAACAACAAAGAGCAGCAGCAGCAAAACAAGAGGTAGCAAGTGTTCCTGCTATAAGAGGTAGCAGGTGATTGTGGAAAAGCTCACAATCACCCAGAACTTCCTGACCCTGTTATGTCAGGAAACTTAGAGCACAATGCGAGTAGGACCCAAAGTGAGCTGCTTTCTGCCTGCAGTTTTGTACCTCTCCTTCCACAGCCCTGTTTTCCTGAGCTGTTTTTGAAAGAAACAGCTTACTCATAATTCCCAAGCTGCAGATTCTTCTAGGTGATGAATAGCTGACATTGCGGATAAACAAAGGAGCCATAAATTCTTAATGTATAGCATAGGAAAGCCATGCAAGTGCGGCATCTTTAATTGAGAGAGTGTTCCTGAGGAGGAGCTCACCCAAGGTGCTGGGGGACAATGCAGGCAGAGCCCGAGAGGAGCTATGTTTGAACTCAGTGTCTTCCTCGAATTCGTGTTGTGAATCCTCTTCCCCAGAGTAATGCCCTTGGGAGGCAGTCAGGCTATGAGGACAAAGCCACCACGAATGGGTCAGGGCCATCGGAGAGGTGACCGCCCCCTCCCACCATGGGAGGACACAGAGAGACAAGGCAGGCACCAGGCACTGGGCTGAAGGGCGAGTGACACAGCTGCATGTGGGCAGTGTTACTGGGTCCTGCCACAGGTGCCCTGGGCCATGCTTCAGACTTCCGGCTGTGTCCCTGCTCTGGGGGGGCCACTTGTGCCCCCAAACCAGTCTCTTGGTCTGGATGACCAGGCTGAGTCTCTCAAAGGAAGAGCTGGGTAAGACTCTAACCGGGGAAGTGACATTCATTCCCATATCTCACAAGGCCTCAGTTTCCCCTGGCCGGGCAGATGGTCTGTGGCCACAGACTTGGTGGATGGGTTCCTGTGACAGCTCCTTGGGTTTAGAAGCACTGCACTAGTATTTTTCTTCCCTGGCCTTCCAAAGCACTGTCGTGGCTGCTGGATCTGAATACTCGTTAGACTTTGTTTCTTGACACCCCTCCCTCGGCTGTCCCAGGCCATCCTATTTATAACTTTCAGCTGTTGGCAGGTCTGTGGCACTGGCCTTTGGGGAGACAAACGTAGCCTGGGATGCTTGGGAGCTGTCTGGGAACACAGGCTGGGGCGGTGGAGACACCCAGACGAACCCTTTCTCTCAGAATTTATGATGAAAAGTTGGACGGCGATGGACAACAGCCCTGATCTTGCGATCTTCAGAAAGATGGGAGGGCACATTCCACAGAAGCAGGAACTGGCGAGAACCAACTGTTTGACTCACAAATTAGTCAACAACTCTCTAGCAAAAACGAGAAATCATGGTTTCAGTTAAATTGCCTCTGTTAAAGAAACTTTAAAACACACACACACACACACACACACACACACACACACACAGTGGAATATTTGGGGAAAAATTTAAATAAGAGTTTTGAGCAGAGAGTGTTCTCCCCACAGAGCTCACGATGTATCTGGGTCATTTCATGGTGAGTAAATCAATGGCTCTGGGGAGAACTGTTTGAGAGGAGGTAGAGGCAGATGGAGGCACCGGGCCGGCTTTAGGTGTAAATCATCCATGCTGCGCCCACCCTGACAAGCAGACGGAACCCAATTTGACCTCTGATTTGTTCTCCGGCTTTCAGCAAGCTGTGCCCTCCGGAATTCTGCCTGATCATCATTAAGGCCTGAGAGAGGCGATTTCAGAACTTTCCCCTCCACGTTCTTGATTTTCCTCCTTCTGAAAAGCCATGGGGAAAGCCCCTCCTGTAACTATTTTGTCCCAAATTTATTGGCTAAGTTTGCATCAGGATTCTTTTTTGGACCATGAATGAGAAAACCCTGCTGTGATATCATCATCCAGATGTCTCTGATTGCCCGGGCCTTGATTTTTTCTGCCTCCATCTCCTTGCTGTTTTTGAGATTTCTGCCTTTTAATTCCTGGAGGCTCCGATGAAAACATCTGTTCCCAGTGCTCAGTATCTTGGCCCCCAGAGCCTGAGGGAAGACCTCCTCTTCCAAATATGTCTCGGGCTCTGGCATGTCTCAGCTCGTTGCAGCAAAGTCCCAGAGCCCAGACCTCCTGGTCACTACGCCTGACGAGCCCTTGAGTTTAGGAGTGGCCTGGATTCAGAGTGGACCAGGTGAGGCAGTCAAAATACTACACCCAAATCCTGTTAACTGGAAGGGATGCAGTGGTAAACTGTCACCACATAAATAGAGCTTTATAAAAAATATGTAAAAATGTCTACCTTTTCCCTCTTTTGCTGGTTTTTATCATTTAGAATTTGACTCGGGCAGGAAAACAATTGTCACTGTCGTTGGTGCTCATTGTCCCCCCACCCTCCAGCCATTCTTCATTGAGAGTTGATTTCTCTCTTCTGCTAACTCCTGTTGGCTCCAGGACAGCAGGTCTGTGTCTTAAGTCTATCCTGGCACCTGGCAAGGAGTTGGCATCATAGGTAGCTGTTGAATGACTGAGTGAGCGAGTGAGTGTCCCATCCCTGGCCCAGGGGCCAAGGTCATTGTTATGCTGCTCGCTCCACTTGAGATCCATCTGAAACCACATGGTAGTGACAGTGACAGCCAGTGATCCAGGCCAGTGCAAGCCACCCTCACCAGATCGGCCTCTGCTTTCTCTGGCTTTGTACTGAGACACCCGCCTACACTCCAGCTGGGGTTACACGTGTGCGCCACTGCACCCAGCTTGCTGTTATCTAAAGAAGAAATAATAGGAAATATTTTGTAAGAAAATATTTTGCATTTCATAACAAAGTGCAAGAGTTTGATGCATGCATTTGGATTTGTGACTGGTAAGTAGGGCTATTGAGGGCACCTTGACTTCAGATGTAGACCTGTTCACAAGTGGCAGAGCTGCACCGAGAGGCATTGCTGCAGGTGAAAGGATTCTTTTCCAAATGGTGAAGGACTTTTGGAAAGTTTTAGACCAAGCAAAGAGTAATTCTTTGAGGCAGTTACATTCTTGGAAAGTGCATTCTCTATAAAATCATCACCTTAGTTACGTATCTAGGCTGGAGTTCGGTTTTCAGCGCAGATATTATAAGGAGATTGTTTTACCTACAGGTGTCTGAGTACATTTCAAGGCCATGCAGGGTACAGGACACCTTATTGTGCAGAACAGCCTCTGTCTCTTGGCCACTGAATGCCACAGCCCCTCACCGTCTGCTGTCATGACCACGGTGAAAATGCCCACATTTCTGCCATGTGGCCTAATTCTGCTCCAGATGGGTGAATGAAACTTCTAGATAGTATTGATTATGAACTCAGGATGATCAGGAAAAGAAATAGCACCATGTTGCAAGCAAAGAAAGGAGGAAAAAGAGATAATATGATCCAAGAGGGAAATGATAGATGTTCTTATTGATGCTACTTAAAATAATTTGTATTGCACACAAAAAAAGCTCTATAGTGATGGTTTATACCAGAGGTCCCTAACCTTTTTGGCATCAGGGACTGGTTTCATGGGAAACAATTTTTCCATGGACTCTGGGGGTGGTTTCAAGATGATTCAAAGGATCGGCAAACTGGTTCCCTCGCATGTGCAGTTCACAGTAGGGTTCTGGTGTCTCTGAGAGAGTAAGGCAGCTGCTGACCTAAGGAAGGTGGAGCTCAGGCTGTGATGTGAATGACAGGGTGGCTGTAAACACAGAGGAATCTTCATTCGCTCACCCATAGCTCACCTCCTGCTGTTTGGTCCAATTCCTAATAGGCCTGGGACCTGTACTGGTCTGCTGGCCCCAGGGTGGGGACCCCTGGTTTATACATTAAGGAAATACACTGTGACACATATAAGAGGAACCTGAGAGGTGTGAGGAGAAAAGTCCCCTCTTATCTCCCGGGGATATGTTCCAAGACCCCCAGCAGATGCCTGAAACTTGGAATACTACTGAACCCTACATAGATTACGTTTCTCTATGTATATACCTATTATTTTAGTTACTTTTCTCATTGCTAAGACAAAATACCCAACAGCCACAAGGTAAAGGAGGAAAGATTTATTTTATCTCACAGTTTGTAGTGGTTTTCATCCATCCATAGTTGGCAGTCTTCAAGGCAGGGTGGCATGGCAGAGGAGAAACAGTCCACGGCAGGGCAGACAGGAAGCCCCAAGCAGCAGCTCCCCTTTTTGTTTTATTCCATTCTGGTGGTTGGTGCCCCCCACAGCCTGGGTGGGGCTTCCCATCATCCACATCCAGAACTATGTTAAGTAAATCAGTGGACTAATTTAGCTATCACACACCCTTAATCCATATTCACACACCCTAATTAGGCATCACATACCCATGATCCAGCCACCTCCCAAAAGCCCCACCTATAAGCACAAGAGTATTTGAAGAGTCATACAGATGCAAGCCGTAACACCTATGATAAAGTTTAATTTATAAATTAGACAGATATTGACAATGTAAAATATTAATAAAACCGAACAATTATAACAACTTACTATAATTAAAAGATATACAAATCTCTTGTCTTGTTCTCAAAATATCTTGTACTATATTTACTTTCTTGGTGACATTGAGAAATGCTATTTAACAAAGCACTTTATGGCTTTTCTCTGATATATTCAAATTGCCAGTGTTGCCACTCCTGTTTACCGGGGCCATTGTTATCTAAAATTAAGGTACTTAACACAAGTACTGCATTACTGTGACACTTGATTTGATCATCCAACCGGGTACTAGATGACTTACACATGGGCATCACAGCCCAGCTATGCTGGATAAAGGGATGATTTGTGACTCTGAAGGATGGAGAGGGACATTACTCTACTCAGAGCAGCCTGCAATGTAAAACTTATGAATTGTTTATTTCTGGAATTTTCCATGTAATATTTTTGGATTGCGGTCAGTTGCAGACAACTGAACACATTGCAGAGGATGGGACTGGCGTTACCATGGTTAGTTACACAATATTGAGTTTTAAGATGAAACAAGTGAAATATGCTTTACAGGAAAACATTTGGCAGTGAAGACTAAGATGAAAAATTGTCAAACATTGAAGTCGCTGCCCATCTACATCCCCCTTGTGGGCCACTTGCTAAGCATCTACAGTCTGCACAAACCCCAAAGAAATCTGAATCCTTGGATTCAGTGGAATAGAAGATGTTTAGGAAAGTCTGACAATGGGCTGCCTGGGGGAGGTGAGGAAAGGGAGGAATCCCAATTTAGGGCCTTAGCTTTGGCTCTGTGGAGTTCTGAGGCACTTAAGGGACATCGAGGAGAAAGAACTCTGGGCAGTTTGTAAAGAATCAACTTGGCAGTGACAGTGATAGATTCAGGCTTTCTTTAGGACTCTTTTCTAAATACTCTTCCTACGTGGAATTTCCAGCAGGTGCGCATTAGACTTCCAGGCTGGGTGGATTTGGATAAGAATGTGTTCCTCATTAGCGAGGTTGAATAATGTCAGACGTGGTGGAGCAGCTTGAAACGCCCAGCTGAACTGAGTCGTGGTGGTTTGGGTGTGGAAGGCCCACCTGAGAATTGCTGCCAATGACGCAAAAGAAGACCTGGAGGGGAGGAGTGTGTGTTGTCGATTTTCCCGGAGAAGCTCACCACAACTGGTTTTCCTGATACAAACTCAGCCGTTCTCTTTGACTGAGGAGTTTGGATCTTTGCTGTCACAGGGAATAGCTGCTGCTTTCTTTGCGGGAGCTTTAATCTTCACGGTGAGCATCGCTTCCTGGCTCCAGTACAGATCCCTCATCCCGGTGGCCCAAACCCTTCACCCAACTGGTGCAGACTTTCTGGCTTCCTCCACGGGCCTTTGGGCCTTCTCAGTGCAGATCCTCCGTATGGACTTGCATGAGGACATTGCTGTGGGCTCCAGGCCTCTGGCTGGACTCGTGGAGGACATCGTCTTGGGCTCTAGGTCTTCAGCTGGACTTCTGCAGGACATTGCTGTGGGCTCCAGGCCCTCAGCTAGATTCTTCCGGTCTCTAATGTGTGAAGAGATCTCTTGCTCTCCTTTGCATTTGACTTTTGGGGTGGCTATTATAAAATAGTCCCATAAATGATGTGTCCTAGATTAAATCTATTCCCTTGCAAACCCTGACTACGAAAGCAGATTTAAAACAGCTTTGTGAATTTACCTGGAGCAGGCTGTCCAATAATTCTACATCTAACATTTTCTTTTATTTCATATCTGCTCTTAGTTTCATGAGACAGTATTTTGCGTCTCACTGAGAACAGACTTCATTTTTAATGGGACAACACAAAATAGACGTGTGTTGGGAAAGACTGATGGGACCTGGAGTGAATTGTGCACTGTATTTGTCAGGGTCTTGGCAAGGGGTAGAGGATGTGCCAGAAAGGTAGCGGGAAGGGTCTAGGGGGAGGCCCAATTGGACGTGTGTGGTGTTGGACGTCACATGGGAATAAAGAAGCAGTGTGGGGTGAGCAGCAGGGCAGTATTAGCAGCCAGAGCTAGAGAGAGCTGTAGAGGACAGGGCAGCTTAGTTCCGGGCCTCCTGACCTCTGATACCCTTCTGAGGGTATTCGGAGGGATGCATCTGTGCAGGGCAGTAGGGGGGCGTTTGGACTCGGCACCTGGAGATGACCCAGCCCGGTAATGTAAACACACGTGTGCCTAGCCTCCTTGAAAGACACTTAGGGTGGGTCTGTCTATCTACCCACCCACCCCTCCATCCATCTAATCTTTTAAAGACAGCTTTACTGAGACCTAATTCACAGGCCATAAAAGTCACCCCTTTAAAGTGTATAATTCTGCTCATGTTATTAAAGTCAGTCTTTTTTTTTTTTTTAAATTTGTAAAGCAGCAGGTAGGTCTCATTCAATGGAAATAGGAGGAATCAGTTCAAAGACATTTTTCATATTTTGAATTGTGGTAAAATATGCAGGCTTCTCATTTTAACCATTTCTGGATATGCATAAGGAATGTGTTTCGAGGCCTGCATTCTAAAGTGTGCACAGCGGATGGGGAGGATCATAAAAAGCGGGCGATGGTGCTAAGGCAGTGGTTCTCAGTGTCTGAGCTAGGAGACTGCGTTTGATTGTGCTGTCCTTGGTGGACAGATGTGCGGTCCTGACACACACGGGCTGCGGCGTGGGCCCAGGTGTCTCCACACATGGGCCGCGTGATACCCTCTCTGGACCACCTTCCTTCAGTGAGCCAGCTCTGTCCATCTGTGCCTCTGTGTCCTGGCAATTCCACATTGGTCTTCAGGTCCTGAAGTTCTCATTCTTAGTTTGCAAATCAGTTAGAATACATTTCAGGCTTGCAGCAGTCTGTGACTCGAACTACAAGTTCCATAGTGTTAGAGGATGTTTCTAGGGAGTTAGAGCCCCGGTGGTTTTCTTCCTGATTCTCTTTCTTATCTACTGACTTCTCCTAGAAGAATCACAAATGTCTTAGTCACCTCCTCGGCCCAGCTATGACTTCTGAGCTTCCTGACAAAGTCACACTGCCACTGGGAGACACACGTGTCTGGAAGGCTGCTGACTGGTGCTTGGACTGCAGCCATGAGCCGTGCACCTGCGGGCTCACTGCCACCTTCCCGATTGCCATGGATACTCACAGATGCACAGCCACTGGCCAAGACTGGCGGATGGAGGGAACGAGCAGAGTTGGAAGCCGCCAGCCCGTCAGGCAGTACTTACAGAGAGGGCAGCAGTAGATCAGGGCACTCACCAAGTACAAAATCATCATAATATCCGGGTACTGGAAAACCTGTATTGAGCTGTAGCAGTCAAGCCACATAGTTGTTAAATGATCATAACTGTGTCTTAAATAATCAGCTCAGCTGGTCTCTATTTAACATAATAGCTGCCTATTAAACCTAAATTAAGTACAGAGTTAAATGTCTCTGGGATACAAAACCCGCAAACCACTGCCAAGCCCAGAACGAATGCTGGGGCTGGAATGAGCTCCGTGCGGTGGCCGGGCTGGGTGTGCTCTGGTCCGGGTCAGGCAGGAGCCCCTTCCCACTGCCCAGCCCTCTGCACTGAGGAACACTGTTTTCCCAGACATGAGGTGGGGCGGGGGCCAAGCTCGGGAGTGCATTTCAATTCTGATTATATCTCATGGAGTTTTTAGTTTCATAGACATTTCTGAAGATGCCAGAAATATAGAAAAGCTTCCAAGAAGCACTGTGAGGCCTCTGGCCCTGAACGGGCCAGGATGACTGTGGGCTCCACACGCACCGCATCCCTCCCACCCCCACCATGGATCTGGGCCTCATCCCAGGCTGAGATACAGGAAGAGCCGTCAGCTCCCAGCCTGCTTCCAGCCCGTCTTCTTCCCTGCCACGATCCATCCATCCATCCACCCACTGAACTGTGTACCTACCATGTGCTAAGCATGCAGGGAGTAGCAGCAACTCCAGACCCCCGGACCTGTCCTTTGGTGGGAGAAGCAGCCATTGTCCAGGGTGGCCTTTCCAAAAGCAACACATCCCCTGCTCTCCCAGCCTCCAGGAACACAAGGCTGCAGCGTCTCTATCCTTGTCTTCTGCATCTGTGCCCTCCCTCCAGAGGGACAGCCAGGTGCACCACTGCCCCATGCACTTCTGTTCCCTCTGGGGACCCCTGCACAGTTGTAACCTGGATGACAGCTGGACACGTGGATCCTCAGGCCCTCCCTACATCTGCAGGATTGGACTCTTTTTGTTGGTTGGGCTGGAGAATCAGCCATTTAATTTTTCACCAGGTTCCCCAGTGACTTGGCCACATATTGGCAAGTCACCGTGTTAGTGTCTCCCCAGGGTTTGCTACATCCAGAGTCTGCCCCAAGCCTCCCTCCACCCAGATGTAGCTTGGTCCTCGTGATCTGTGGGATCAAACCTCAGTGTCATGTCAAGACTCAGCTCCATGTCACAACCTCAGTGTCTTTTCCTGGTACCCCTCCCCTGCAGTAGGATTGGCAGCTCTGTTCCCAGCAGTGTCCTGTCCCCTCTTCCAATGCTCATACCTCACAGACTTCTGCCAAAGCTTCTTGGGGGCCTTAAAGCAGCATGTGCAGTGGTGCCCCAGAGCCAGAGTCCCCAAAGGCCAGCTTCTCCACCCTTGGAGCCATGGGTGGGACAGGTCCAGCTCTCCCAAGCTTGCCACAGAGTAGAGTGTAGTGACTCCTCCATGTCCCCAAATCTTCCCACTTCACCACCATCATAACCTCACTGGGGCTTTGCCTGCTATTTTGGCTTTGAGCCTCACCTGACTTTCCCGCTGCTGCAGGAGACTGGCAAAGCCAAGTACCCTTCAAAGTCCAGAATAAACAATGGATCGCAGAGTTTTCCTGTAAGGATCCTTTCATTGGATGTCGCGGGAAACCATTCTTGTGGCATGGCTTGGACCCATAAGGCTGGGCTCGGTTTTCTTTTGTGGGGTGGAGATGGAGCTCATCTCTTGCTGGCTGCCAGGAAATTGTTCCTAAGAATGGAGGAATGGCTGTTTCATGTGGATGAGCAGACTGCCGAGGATGAGGGGGAGAATTACCAAGTGTCAGAGACACAATCAATGCTTGGCTTTCCTTGTTTCAATATCCATTTCATTTGCTCCATGTAATAGCCTGGACACGTGTTTTCTTTGTTGATCTGTGTACTCATTCATCTGGGAAGATCTCTTTTGGGGAGCAATTTTTGTTTTACTGAGAAGACAATGTAAGGCATAATGAGAAATTTCCCATCTTCACGCTTGTGCTGCGGGAGGGTGGTAATGGTGGGTAGAGGATGTGGAGCCTGCTGTTTTGCTCTCTGCCCCTTCCCTGAGGGCTCTCGGAGGCAGGAGTCATGGCCCCAGTTCAACATGGACTTGAAACCCAAGGTTTTTCTTAGCATTTTGTATGAATGCTACAGCCACGGCGCAGCTTTCGGTCCTTGGTTTTCTGTAATTTTGAAGAAGGTTAAAGTGCAATCTTTGTTGTCAGACTTCTTGGCTTCAGATTCTAGTTTTGCACCTTCTTCCAGTGGCTGTGTATTCTTGGATGCTTAACCTCACCTAACCTTCCTTTGCTGTGGTTTCCCAAGTGTAGACAGGGTGGTGGGTGAAGAACAAAGGAGATGGTGAGGGTCATAAAGCTCTTAGTGCAGGCCTATCTTAGCGGCTAGTCAGCTTCTGTTTTTGTGGCTCTAGGGGTTGCACCCAGAGGTGCTCTACACTGGGCTATATCCCTAGCCCTCTCTGTTTCAATTTTTTTTATTTTGAGGGACGTTCTTGCTGAGTTGCCCAAACTTTGCAACTCTCCTGCCTCAGCCTCTCAGATAGCTGGGAATACAGGTATGTGCCACAATGCCTGGCGGCAACTATCCTTTTGACAGCACTTTCTCCATTTGCCCTGCTTCTCATTTGCCCTTCCTTGGCATCTCGCCTGAGTGATATTCCGATAGGGGCTTACCTGAGGGTTCTGTCCTGTTGGCTTGCTGGGCTGGGCGGTGTGCGGGTCTCAGGAAACCAACAGGTCTGATCTCATTTTCTACCTTGGTCCTCTCTCCCCAGTCAACAGATGGCTTTCTTAGTAATAATGACAACATGAAAGTTTTGATAAAGTAATTTAGATGATAAAATTCTTGTTCTCAAACCCTTTCTTTCGCCTGTAGTACAGTGAGTCAAAGCTGTTCATGGTGACCTCACGTCTGGTCTGCATTCTCTGTGGCCTCCTGGTTGGGCATCAGTAGAAGCTATTATTGAGCCCCCGTCAACTGAGATCAGCACGAAGGTAGAGAAACTATACTTCTCTAAAAGAGGCAATGTCTTTCTGCTCAAAGCAGAGCTTCAGAATAGTACAATTTATTCTGTGACCAGAAAGTATAGACCACCAGAAAGCAAGGTTGATCTATAAGAAGAGATGATAGATAAATTACGAAAAGCATTGGTACATTGTCATACTTTGGTATTTACACATCCAGGAGGTGGGAGGAGTCACCAAATCTCAGTGAAATGTTCTAATCCCTGACCTGGATACTCGAAGACTCTGGATTTCACCTGGACTCCCCCTTGGATCCGCCATTTTCTCCCTCGGAGTCTCAGTGTGTCTGCTTTTGTCGTGGGGAGATTGGACCCAATCACAGATACTCCTTGGGAACATTTTGGAAATCTGTGGAAACATTTTTGGTCAGCACAGTGATGCGTCAGGGTGCTGCTGGCTCTCCCT